CTTGCTCACAATATCCTAGTTGATCTCGCAGCTCTAACAGGAAACTCTCCTATTGTCAGCCAGGTTTATTGTTTACAGTAGTAAAAACAGGAGAGAAAATACTGTGTTGTAGTAAGGCAGAGAGAGAACTAAACAACCTCTGTGTTGTTTTGTAGCACATGCACTCAGGTTAAGTGCTATTGTCCTTCCTGCTCCTGCCACACTAACAACAGCAACTGCTGGAGGAGGTAGTATCAAGAGTGAGCATGAAGGCTTCGAGAAAGCATACACTTCCTCAAGAACAGAGAGTGAAAGACTGGGAACTGTTTGCCCTAAGACAGTGATAAATAACAAATCGTTTTGCAGTGTGTGATTACTCTGTGGGACTCGTTGCCCCAGGGCAGCACTGACATGGGAGGCTTAGCAGGATACACATTCACGCACAATAAAACATCATCTGTAGGAAAAAAAAGCAAAACAACCCAAACTATTTTTGACTCCATGTTTCACAACATCATTTAATCCTATGAAAACAGCCAGAAACTTCCTCCATAAGCAGATTATTGCAAGACTGGCTCTGAGTGACATCTTATGCCTTCCTTTGTGATATCAGGCCTGGGCCATTGTTGGAGACAGGCTGCAGAGGGACGAACTACTGATTTGATTCTCCACTTTAATATCCTGACTTTTCCTTCATGATGTCATACAAATAATGGAAGGCAGACCATTTTTTTCCAAACCAGATATGGGCTACTTTCTCTCTATTAAGAGTTTGGAATACCTTGTTTGCTATCATTTGGGAATATATGGCACAAATAACCAAAATCTAATCAAGATTTTCCCTAATTTCCAAAAAGGCTGCTGCAGAGTTCAGCTGCCTTTTTTATTGATTGTGATAGTAAGCACAGACACCACTTACCATGAAGACATTTTTACATAGGCAAGGCTATTAGAATGATTTATAAAGCTATTGTCTTAAACTGCAGTTTTGCTGAAGGCCACAGGAGCAAATTGTATGCATCATGGGTAGCTTGGGTTTGTTCCTAGTTTGTAAGAGCTATTATTTTAGTCATCTAATCATTAAGATTTATGTTACATAGGCAAGAAGTATTGTAGGGCTATCACTTATCCAAGTGTTTTTCAGAAGAGAAATAAAGCATTATATATCCAGCCACTTATAGGACATCCTGATATCACAACAATGAATACAGTAGAAGTAGAGCAGAACTGTGTCAATAGCTGTAAATATACCCTGCCGTTCTTTTTTAAAAAAATGTCATGTTTATGGAAAATCTGTTGGTTACTCATGCTGACTTTCTCCACCTATTTGATAAATCACCTTCAAAGTAAGATATGCAAGTAAAAATTCATTCTTGGTGTGCCTTCTGCAGTCCAGTGGTGTCCCAAGAATCACAGCTAATAAGGAATACAGCTGTTGTGAAACAGTGTGTTATGGTTTAACCCCAGCTGGCAACTAAGCACCACGCAGCTGCTGGCTCACTGCCCCTCCAAAAGATGGAGAGAATTGGAAGAGTATAAGTGAGAAAACTCATGGGTTGAGATAAGAACAGTTTAATAATGGAAAGAAAATATAATAATGATAATAATTATAATGATAATAATTATAATGATAATTATGATTATAATAATAGCAAATGCAACAACAATAATAATAATAATGAATTAAAAGGAAAATAACAGAGAGAAAAATAAAAACCAAGAAAGAAAAGTGATGCAAATGAAAACAATTGCTTACCACCAGCAGATTGATGCCCAGTCAGTCCCTGAGCAGCAGTCTGCCAGCCAACCTAGTTTTATTGCTCAGCATGAAGCCATATGGTGTGGAGTATCCCTGGAGTCAGCTGAGGTCAGCTGTCCCAGCTGTGTTCCCTCCCAGCTACTTGCACTCCCCCAGCCTACTCACTGGGCAGCGTGAGGGGCAGCAAAGGCCTTGACTCTGTTAAGCACTGCTCAGGAATATCTAAAACATCCCTGAATTATCAACAGTTTCCAGCACAAATCCAAAACACAGCCCCACACCAGCTACTATGAAGAAAATTAACTCCAGTCAAAACCAGAATTCAGTGTCTCAAGTCTCCTAATTCTGGAGGTTTTGTAAGACCACTTTTAGAAATGCCACCAGCTGCTTGCTCACAGCAGGTGAGTCAGTGCTTTGAGCCATTGTACACATTGCTTTTATTGGTCTCAACAAACCTCAACAGAGCAAGGTTGTTCAACCAGGTAAATCCTCATGTCCGGTTCATATTACAAAGGATTGATGATTGCACTCCTGAAAACCATTTTGTACTGCCTGACTAAAAGTCATGCCCCTCTAACATTGTGACAATGTCAGTCATAAACTACAACATGAACAGGATGTTTCATCTATCTGCCTACCCACCTTCCTTTAATACTATTTCCTTGGTCTGCTGCAGTTATGTTTCATCCTGGTGGCCAGTGGGTTGACTGCTGGATATGAGACTAGTTCCCTTGCTGGCCAAAAATGTTAATTTTTACACAATCTTTTCAATACGAATCATTCTTTTTTTCCTGATAAGAGGTTAAAAATGAGAGAGATTTCCTCTTGAGTGTAGTGCACAGTGTTTGGAAGAAAATGTTAACTTTTATCAGTCACACTCCCTGGACAGGCCTCAGCTGACTGTTTGCAGGCAACAGACCAGACAGATGTTAAAGAGGCCGGTTTGTATTTTCATGGGCAGGAGTGTCCTCACTAACAGACACACTAACAGGTTAAGACTTTCAGCAGTGAACATGTGTGCAGCTATTACTTCTTGTGCAAAGAGAAGGATTCTTGTCCTCTCAGGCTTTGCCATGTCTAACTGCTGGTAGGGGTTGAATTTTTGACAGTGAATGACTGTTCAGTTGTATTTTTAGACTTTTTTTAGATCCCTTCTGTTGTCCATTAGAGCAGTGTTATGGTTCATAGGGCTCTTGGAGGAGAACCACGCAAATTCCTGCACACAGGATGTCATTTCATGCTCTCTCCTGTTTTGTTCCTTCTGTCTGGTTTAAACCAGCAGGAGGGGAGGTGGGAGAAACAGAATATTTTTGTTTATTGTATCCAAATGTTTAAGGAATGACAGACATAGTTTTTTCATTTAAATGATCACTCTTTGCCAACACCACACCAGCAAACACATAAAGTAACACAACAGCCTACCACAGTGCACTGCAGAGCAAAAGGACTCTGGAAGCTGCTTGGGAGCGGAGGCAGAGAGAGGTGCCAGGGGAAAACCTGACCATGCTGTCCTCTGGATGGAGATAACATAATGATGCCCAGAAAAAAAGAGAGAGTCATTACCGGCCTTTTAATGTCCTGGTTAATGCTATATTTAGTGCATAGCCGTGCTGGTGCATGGAGGTCTAAGGAAAGAGGAGGTTGCTGGGGAGCAATGGCTGGTGACACCACATGGGGAGCTGCACTGGTGGGGGTGGCAGCCCTCAGAGAGCTGAGTGATGGAGGGGTGCAGAGCAGGGCACTGTTTTGGCAATGTCATGCAGAAGTTGGGTACGTGACAGTTGCCTGAAGCAACGCATGAGTCATAAAAGAGTGTCTCCATGACATATAAAGATATGGTGGGGCAGAGAGTTTGTTCTTAGGATTGTGGTTTGCACCACCCCAGTGATTCTACTGGTTAGGGAGGGGAGCTGCTGAGCTGAAGGAGTACTTTAATGCCATGGTAACACTAATTGCTCTCATGATGAGAAATGTCAGTGCTGTAATGTGGATACTACAAATGTACAAAGCCTCATGTCCTCTGAACAGACATCATGGAGAGTGCTCAATGAGTTAGGACAGATATTTAAGCTCTTCCCAAAGCATTTCCCCTCTGGCAACCTTTGCTTTTTGCATAACCCTGTGGTCTGCTCAGAGCAGTGACCATTCCTGCCTTGGCACAGGGCAGAGCTGTGTGACAGCTCTCCTTTGGACAGGAATATAGCTCCAGAGCCCACCCCTGTTCCAACACAGCAGCAGCCTCTTGCAGAAAGGCCTCTGTTTGCCAAGGGCTGGATCTAATTTTCAGGGATATTTTGTGTCCATAGCCCTCCTAAAAGAAAACAATCTTATTTGGTGCTGCGAGTAGGTGGAGAAGCTGATGGAAGGAAGGGAAGGAGGGAGCGGTTCCTGCTGAAAAAAAAAAAAAATCAAGAGCTAAATAAAATTCTTATTTTTCCTGCTTGTATGAAAGGCCAAATAGACTTTTAAAAACATACGTGGACCCTTCAGTATGTGTACTTGACTTTGGATTTGTGTGCTTGACTTCAGATTTGTCTGGGACAATCTAGGGATAGATTGTGCCTGCTTTTTGCTTGGAGAGGCAAAAGAGTGTCTTTAGCGTCCCAGTGAGTGGCTGTCCTTGCTTCCTCACTGGGGGAGTAGGCCAGTGTAGTGGGAGCTGTTGTGCCCTCCCAGTCCTCCCAGCAGCAGGGACTTGTCCCCAAGCAAGGGTACTGGTGGCATGGGTGGCAAACCACTCATCAGGGAGTGCTCCCCTCATGGGGGTAGCCCTGCTCCCCACTGACACAGCCCACCTTCCTCTTCTCTGATTTACCAGTCAGTTTGATCAACCATTTAATTTTGTCAAAATCATTGACAGAAGACCATTAAAAGGAGAGTTATGCCACTTCTATGCTCCATGGTTTGGGCTCATTTATTTTAATTAGCTGTTAGAAATTCGTGGTTAAACAAGGCTTGAGAGGGTACTACTTAAATGTGGTACTCGTGGCATACACAGGACCATTAATAAAACACTTCTCCACAGCTTGACTATTTTGTCCCCCATCTAGCTCGCAGCTTATCATATCACTAGAGATAGGAAACAGAATGTAACACCTAATTAAAATGTGAGCCTGTGTCCACAGATGAGTCAATAGAAATAAAGGCATTAAGCTAGTGAGAGAAGCAGGAGAGAGTCATCACAATAAAAACATCTTGTTCAAGCAGACCCTGGAGGAAGCTATGCTCCTACCTTAGGCACCTGCATGAAGTTAGGGATAACATGAGGTATTCAGGTCCTGATACAGAAAAACATTAAAAACTAAAAGCTGATAAAAAGTAAATGTCTGTTTTTCTCATTAAGAATTCTGAACTCCACTGTGTAACAACAATTTTTAGCCGTTACCGTTGGTTGTCATAGAAATATCACAAGCAACCACTTATTTTGGTAATAGATTTATAGATAGTGTCTTCTGTTATTTTAGTTGTTCTTTTCCAAAATTATATTGATGCATTTTTTGAATAAGTAGATGAGATATCTGAGCCATCACAAGATGAATTTAATGTATATTAGGTTAAGCATTTCAGAGGCATGCATAGAATTTAATGTTTTTTTAATATTGTTATTCTCCAAAAGACATAAAAAGTAAAACTAGCCAGGCATGAATTTAAAATTATACCTACCAAAGATAAGCAAACTAATCATGTCTCCCTCTGTTTGTCACAGGTGGGATAGTCCCCTGGTTGACCTGTTTTTCTCCAACCAGTTCCTTCAGATCACCACTACTGTGCCATCCACTTCTGTGTATGGATTTGGTGAACATGAGCACCCGACCTTCAAACACAACATGGACTTCAGTACCTATGGCATGTATGCCAGGGATCAGGCACCAACGGTAATTCAGTTTACGCAGCACTTTGTCCGAGCTTGTATCACCAAAAGGAGGTGGCAAGCAAGGAACCTCACAAGTTTTGCAGATATCATCAGTTTTAATTAAATTACAGAGCCATGAGTCATTTTGAGGGTACTTTGAAACCTTTCATCAGAAACTTTCTCACAGTGCAGTTTTCAGAAAAACTATTTTGTGTGCCAAGATTCTGGTTCAGAAAAGCATTGAATTTCATGCCCTATTCATCCAAACAAGCTGGACTTCAGCAGGACTCATTAGATATTTGGCTAAACTGGAATCAGTGGTTGATGAGTATGTTTTAACTAGCAAGTGATTCTTACCCATGCCATTTTGGAGGATTTGGCAGAATATAAAAGGTTTAACTCAGAAAAACTAAAAAGTGCCATTGTGACAAAGCATTAAAAATAACTCTTTTCTATTAATTTAACTTCACACCAGTTTAGATGAAAAAATCCGCCACCTTTCAAAACAAGTCTTAACTATGAATGAATTTCCTTGTCTATGGATATGTAGCTACCTGACAAAAACTATGAAAAATAGCAAAGTCAAGCCATACGTCATCTGCCGTTTACGTTTCAGTCATTTGCCAACCTCTATGGAGTTCACCCTTTCTACATGTGTGTAGAACCTGACTCCAATGCCCACGGTGTTCTCCTTCTGAACTCCAATGCACAAGGTAAAAAGATATATGGATTTCCTATATGGACTGCATATAGAAAGATCAATAAGTATATAAAACTGCTTTAGTGATTGCTTTTTCAATGTGATGCAAATATGAGTGACTGTTCCCTAACTAAGCTTCCAGGAATTACTCTAGAGTTTTCAAAAGGGTTTCTTTAGAATGACTGTTTAACAAGGTAAGGTATTTTCAGAGAAAATATATGCTAAACTTTTTTTTGAATATAGATATACATAGAGGGAAAGAAGAAGGTGTAGGAAATTTCCTCTGAGATTAGCATAACTAAAATCAAATAACATAAATCAAATCAATTTAAGTTAGTCCTATATTCTATATGTGCAGAATAGTTTTGTAAGTTGCCATGGTCACCTTACTTTATTAATCTAGTGGTATAATTTCAGAAAAGGGGAATCTTCACGCAGTCTATAAAATCAGTTTCCCCTGGCAAGCAGTGGCTTCCAATAAGAACATTAAAATAGCATAGAGGAACCCTAAACACAAGTTTGTTGATCCTTTTTATATAAATGAAATTTAGACAAATGGATCTATGCAATCTCCTCTCTGTGGGATTCTGTGATTTATTGCTGCATAATGCCAGTTTGAATGCCTCTTAAACACTGACAGTGTTGGAGCATCAACCACATCTGTAGGAAGCCTGGTCCAGTGTTTGACCACCCTCTTGGTAAAGAAATGCTTCCTTATGTCAAGTCTCAACCTCCCCTGATCCGTTCTTGACCCATTCCCATGTATAGTGCAGAGCTGGTTTGTACTGAGAACCTATTTTTTTCTCTTTTAGATGTTACTCTGTCTCCAAACCCATCTTTGACTGTCCGCACTATTGGGGGGATCTTCGACTTCTATCTCTTCCTGGGACCCACCCCCGAAAATGTCATTCAGCAATACACTGAGGTTAGTAGAAAAGTGCATAGGGCACATGGGGCAGTGCCTTGTAACAAAGTCCCATCAGGATCTGGTAGTATTAGGTAGTGCAGCCAGAGCATTGTCATGATCTGTTTGTACAAAGCTGTAACTTCAGATCCATGAGAAAACTGGCATATGCTCAAGCATCTGTGAGCAGTCTGAGTGTTGCAGGCTTGGCTGGGTGTTCAGTGCACATCTGTAGCCTTTCCTGCAGTATGTCAGAGTGGGGTTCAGGAGTGCATTAAAGGGATGCAATGATTCGAAAAGAATCTGTTTAAGCTTACTCTTCTCTTGGCTGTCATAATTTCAGTCTTTGCTGTATGACCATGACTGTATATTGACACTGTAGATGGAGAAAAACTAGGCAGAACACAGATGGGAATGTTTGGGAACTTTACATCTGCTGGATTTCAGAGGTGTTGGATGGACTTTAAAGGCTTTAAGCCTTTATTTGCCAGTGGAATTGCCTGTTGATTTTGGAGCCATCAGCGTATTTTAGTAATGAAAACCCATGTAATTGCATTGGAGAGTATAGATGTGGAACAGTACATTTACTGCTGTCTCACAGAGTGTAAGTACTTTCTTTCCAATTGCCCAATGTTTTCCAGAGAACCGAGACTACACATGCAGATGGCTGTTTTGGAAATGTACATGTAATTCTTACCTAGTGAGGACTGCGCAGAAAAAAAAGTAGCAGATAACGTTTTCTCTCATCACCAAATGCCAGGTGCTGCGTTAACTGGGCCTTTGCACAGAAAATTGCCACCTCAGACCCAGGCTCTGTACATAAAGAAATCAGTGTCAAATTTAAAGCATGTGGAGCAAAGCTGAGAAGGGGCATGCTACTGTGAGAAGGAGGGGTCATGTGTGCAGACCTTAAGGATTAGGCTGCAACTGAAGTGCTAAGCAGCTTATGGTAGAGCATCCCAGAGCTGGGCACTCAGAGCACACAGTGAGATGTGCATGTGCTTTGCCCTCCCCTGCAACACTCCTCAAAGGGGCCTGAGCTCTGATTTTTAGCAAATCTTTTGTCTTTCCTGGCTTTTTAAAGCCTCCATATGCTCTGATTGCCTTCTTTTAAAGTGCCTGAAATGGGAACAGAAATACTGTGGTTCAGACTAAGGGAAAAAGAGTATTCAGCAGAGAAGGAAAGTATTGCTGGTTTCTGTTTTGGTGATGTAAGGGATAAGACTTGTTCATGCTGCTGTTTTGGGAAGGCTAGAACCTCCCTAGGGTGGTGGGTTCTGTAAGACCTTCCTTTTCCAGGCAGAGGTTCAGGTTGTGCCTCCCAGAGAGGTGGGAGGCTGATGGTGCCCCTCCATGTCCCAGAGCAGGAGCAACTGTTCTGTTGCTTGTAAGTTTTCAGCTCCCTCTGCACATTGTCCCCACCAGTCACCTGTCATGGTTTAACCCTGGCCAGCAACTCAGCTGTTCGCTCCCACCCCCTCAGTGGGATGGGGGAGAGAATTGGAAGGGTAAAAGTGAGAAAATTCGTGGGTTGAGATGAAGGCAGTTTAATGGGTAAAGCAAAAGCCATGCACGCAAGCAAGGCAAAGCAAGGAATTCATTCACCACTTCCCATGGGCAGGCAAGTGTTCAGCCATCCCCAGGAAATGGGGCTGAATACGTAACTGTTACTGGGAAAGACAAAAACCATCACTCCAAGTGTTCTCACTCTCTCTTCTTCTTCCCCCAACTTTATACGCTGAATATGATGCCGTATGGTCTGGAATATCCCTTGGATCAGTTGGGGTCAGCTGTTCCCACTGTGTCCCCTCCCAACAACTTGTGCACCCCCAGCCTCCTCACCTGGTGAGGTGGGAAAAAATAATCCTTGAATTGTCATCACTGTTTTCAGCACAAATCCAAAACACAGCCCCATACCAGCTACTATGAAGAAAATTAACTTTATCCCAAGCAAAACCAGCACACACCACCTCTGATCCCATTGCCACAGACCACCAAGTAAACAGGTTTTTAACTTACACATGGGTAATAAAACCAGAAAAAAAAAAAAAAGGAAAAATAAGTAAAGCAACTCTCCCCCGGGCTGCAGCTTTGATCCCTATTTCAGGGGAGTTAGTGCAGCAGTGCAATGGAGATTAGAGCCATCCCTGTTTCTTTTCAAAGTCTTTTGCTGGTGTTTGAAAGCAGCATTTCTGTGGCTTAGCAGGTGGTCAGCAGCTGAAAATAAAATGAGAGAGTTCTCACTCCCCAACTGATGGGTAGTGGCAGCTCACTTTCCACCCCTGTGTCTGGAAATGGAGCTGGAGAAAGAAAACAAGGTAAAGGAGAGCAGTGGGCGTCTCCTAATGAGACATGTCACATGCAGGACCAAAAAATCTCCTGTTCTGTATTCTTTGAGCTTGTGCTGAGCTCTCTAGGGAATCTTAAGGAATGCATGTTAGTAATTTCACAGTGAAATAATAAGTTCTTCAGTAAACATCCTGACATTCCAAGGTCGCAAATGTTACAATTACCATAGTATTAGTCTCTAGGGTAATGATTTGGCTTTTATGTACAAGATCTGTGGGAAGGTGAAGGAGAGAGAAAAGACTTTATTTTTCAATTGTATTTTCTATCACATTGAGAGGACTTTCCTGTGCAGTCGTTGTCATGCTGCAGGGAAGGAGAAGGGGTGGAAAGGAGGAGTGTGACTGATGTCTGCAAGGCACAGCTCAGCTCTCCGGTCTCTCAGCTGTCTGCATGGGTCTCCTCTGGGAATTGTTGTTTTGGGAACTCCTGGCTGCCAGGGACCCTGGTGGGACCAGGCTGCACTGCTGCAATGAGCTTCCTGGGGGAATGACACCCACTTCCCACTTGTGCAAGCATCTGCCCCAAATCACTACTTTTTGCAGGGACCACCCATTGTATCTCTCCAGGATGTCCCCAGGATGGCAGGGTGGCCAGGTGCCAGGTGGTGCATGGCTGTTGAGAGCAAGGGAGTTGTGTCCAGAGCAAAGTGCTCCACATCTTTCTCGAAAGTTTTGGGCTGTTGCTTTCAGTGACACTTCAAGATCTGAGCAACCCTTCTGGCCTCCACCCTGCTTGTTTCTGTGAGAGATTTAGGAGCTTAGCTCTGCTCTGTGCTTTCATGTGGCTGTCTCCAAACCAGTGAGTTAGGACAGCTTTGTAACAAAGCTCTTTATTGGGTCTCTGGAGTACGCAAGGTGTCCCTGTGCACCTCTCCAGGTTGCCCCCAGCACCCAGAGGTGGACCATGGACTCTTGCCCAGAGCCACTGGGCCCAGAGCTCCCTGTGTGCCGATCATGGTTGATTGCAGCTGCCCTGTTAGGGCCACCAGTGTCTCTGTGCATCCTTGGAGTGAGGACAGGTGGCAGCCTGGCCCAGGATAATGTGCTTTAAATGGACTCCAAGAGTGAGGCAAGGTGTAGGAAGGGAGCAGAGGGCTAAATGCTGGTGGCTCTGTCCCTCTGCTATGTCTTGTGTGGAGCAGAGGTAAGCTGTAGGATGCATCCTGCCAGTGGCACCACAGTGATAGAGCAGTGACAGCAGCTGTAGGGTGAGTGCTGGGCATAGTGCCATGGGAAGGAGAAGTCTCCAGCCTGATTCTTCTGCTCCCTCTTGTCCCTGAGCCTGGCTGTGAGGAGCATTGGTTCTGGCACATCCAAGATGGTCCTGCACATATATATATATATATATATATATGACAGTGATCACATTTTTCTCCCTCTGCAGAAGAGGTCCGGTATACAGGATAGGTATATAACACAAATCTCACTTTTAATGACAAACATCTCAGTTTACAGGAGGGAGGGGAAAGCAGGAACAAGTTAAAGAGCTCAGTCATTGAGCTGAACCTGGCTAAGGCTCTCTAGTCACACCTGATACCAGACTGCCACTGCCAAGACCACTGGTGGCCTTTCAGAACAGACCAACAGTGCATAGCAGTAGTGTATGAGCTCCATAACAAGACACTTAGGAAAGTTAGGGTTCAACAAATGGCCATCTAATAGCTCTTGGTGGAGTGAAGGCTTTAAATTTGTTATTTTATCACAAATTATCTGATAACAAGCTTTAAGTGAGCATACTGCATGTCTCCTAATGCTGTTTTCAGAGATAATTCCTGGTTTGCTCCCTCCTAACAGAAGTGTAGGGTAGTTACGGGTGTAAGGGACCTCGGAAGGTCCCTAGTCCAGTCTCCTCTTGGAGAGGTAACATGAGAAATCTGCTTGTACCTAGAGTTTATCACAGATGATTCAGTGGGAGTCTCACAGCTGAATTCATGGGTCTCCCGAGAAAGAATAAGCAACTGATAAGTGTTTTGTGCAGCAAAGAACAAGGTTTGAAGGCCGTGGCATTGAAAGTCCTTAAAATTTTTAGATTCCTGAGGTTGTGACCATCTTCTGAATTGTTCAGCAGCTGCAGGGCCTTTCTTCTTGCTCTCCTAAAAGAAAGCTCAGCTTTTGTACATAGACTTTGAGTGAAGGTTGCCTTCTGCCTGACTGGTGACCACAGCACTCACCCACTTGCCTTAGCCAGAGGGGATGAGGTGGATACAGAAACCTGGGCCATAGGAGCACTTGTGAAATTTAGCCATTGTGTGACTATCCAAACACACTATTTCTGTGTCTAAATGCAGAGCATTAGTCCACTTGGGGTTTTATAGTTTCCTCCTACAACTCCTCTGTGAAGAAAGGGAGTTTAAGCAAATATTAAGCTTCGAGAGACATTTTGTTTGGCTAGCTAGGGGGCAAGATTAGCAGTCCTTTCATGTTAAGTCCCTGTACCTGGATTGCTGGGCATCTCAGCTCTTTTGTTAGCATGGGAAAGAATCTCTCTCTCTCTCCAGCCTCTGATATATAGGGCATAACTCTGCAGCCTTGTCTCTCTCATCAAAGTCTTTGATGACAATGTTAACAGAATAGGATCCTGATTTACTCTATATGATTTATAACCTAGTTTATATCATTGATGCTCATATTAATAATTTGATTTGTCCAATAAACCAACACAGGGAAAGTGAATACATGTCACCTGCTCCATAGACACAGATTTTAGCTGTTAGATATACATGTTTCCACTGAAATTTGTTCTTACTGTAAAACACTTCCAGGATACCTCCTAGATACATCAATTCTCAGGTGCATCTGAAAAAAGTGAAAAAATACACATAATGCCAAGTTATGTAAACATGGAAAGACTAACAGTGAATTTATTAAACAAAATCAGGAGTTATTTAAGAAACAAGTGCAGAAGGAATTCTGGAACAGAAAATAGAATCTTTTTTTACTGCTTCTGCACTACCCTATCTTTGCTGGTTTTTTCTCAGTTTGGATAACCCATATGTTTGCTGTTTCTGCATTTTCCTCCCTCAGTTCCCTTGCCATACCCCGTATACCTTTTCTGATTCTATGGGAGTCAATTTTGCCAAGCAGGCTTTCTCTGCCTTCTGCACTTTATGATCATTTGTATGCAGAATGCAATCTATATGAATTAACTAGATCCTAAATATATATCAAATCCAAACTTGAGTTTTCAGGTTTGCAAAATTGCATTCCTGCCTCTGCTGATCCATCTGTGAGTAGGTACCATATGTCAGTTACTTTATCAGGAAGCTTCAGGGGGATCCATTAGAGAGAGTCCGCAGCATAATTAGAAAAAAGAACATTTGTTTTCCCAGCTGCCCTGTTTTCATCCTTCCTCTTCAAATGTTCTGCTGGTTTCAATTAAGCTCACCATGGATGCACCAACCTGGTGAACCCATAATGAATTGCTTTAAAAGCTTAGTATTTTACTTGCAAGGTGGATACTTTTCTGTTGGTTCAGCTGTAACCCCAAACTCCTAAAGCAGTGCTATCACAAAATACCATCTCACTCTGTGGTCCCCAGTGACACAGCACCATCCCACAAGGGTGAGCAGCTGAACCTCAGCAAACCCCTGTGCTGGGGCTGTGCCCTTTGGGAAGGGCTCTGTCACACGGCAGTGGCCACAGCTCCACCTCTGGCCCTGCTGGAGTCCACCTGGGTGCTTGATAGGACATGGGGGAAGAAGCAAATCACCATCCAACTCTTGAACTACATTGTATTGTTGATGTCTCTGACTCCCTAACCAGGAGTGATCCAGAGTGTCACAGGACTCAGAGCAGGGCTGCCCAGCAATTCCCACTTCCTCTGCCTGGGCTGGTTACCCCTTTCCCATTTCCCAGCCGGCATGGGGAGAGGCAGCAGAATCCATGCAGACATCCTGCCAGGGCACAGGGCTCTACATTTAGCCACAGGATTAATATTTATCATCTGCTTTTCCCTCTTCCTCTTGTCCAAGGAGAGAAGCCTGCACACAAAGCATTTTATTTCATTAAGGAGTTCTTTTGTTTTGATCTCTCTTTTTAACCTTGTTTGTAGAGGTCACTCTCTGGTTACAGAAGAGAAAGCAAGGGCAAAATATGCATATGCTTTAGGATCACAAAGTGATCACAAAGGAGTGGGGTTCACAGAGCTCATCTTGCAACCTTTGCTGGTCTAAAACAAACTGCTGCCTCCCCAGGTGAATTTATCCTTAACATGGTGAGTGTGGATGTGAGAGAGAAGCAGAGTTCTTGCCCTGAGGCTTGCCATGATGGGTTAGACACCTTGGTGCTGGCTCACAGGGCGTCTGGGAGATTATCCTGAACCATCATGGCCCATTCAGCTCTCCACAGAAGACCCCAGCAGAGCTTGAAAGATGGTCTGGGTGATCACAAAACTAACCGAAAAATGGAGCTAATGGAAAAAACTAATGACACGTGCAACCAGATGAGAGAGCACCAGAGTAAGAATGGTGTGTGTCTGCCCATCAGCCTCCCCCTGCATGGTAGGGACCATCTTTCTCTGTCTGAGGCCTCTCCTGCAAGGGCACAGCAGTGTTCAGCAAAGGCTGGGTACCACTGCAGCAGGAACATGCTGCTGATGGCTGCTCTTGCTTCCTCTGCAGAACCCAGCCTCCAGCTGAATTGAAGGAGAAGCAGGTGTTCAGGAAGGTGAAGAGAGTTAAGTCTGTTGGAATGGGACAAGTAGGGGGCAGTTGTGCTGATCATCCCTCCTGGAGAGACTCAAAGCATTAACCTCACCAGTTGTTCTGGCCTCCTGCTGTTTTTTCTTAGGTTAGATAGCAGCATTCCAACTAGCCAAAGCACACTGTAGCCAAAGCTGTAATGTTTAGTGCTCAAGTTTGACTGTGCATTCACAAGCCTTTCTTGTTTGGAAGCATTTTGCCCTGTGCGTTCCCCAGCTCAAGTGCATTAAAACATCCTTGACTATTCTCTGCCTCTCTCCCACAGCTGTTTTTGTGTCTGGTGCACTTTGTACATCCCACCAGCTCTAGCATCCGTGATGTATTTTAGAGCAATTTCAAGTTCAGCTTTGCTTTCCCAGGTCAGGCTTCCTGGAGAAAACCCATAGGAAGGTGTGACTTCATGCGATATATCCCTGGAGAGCTTAGCAATGCAATAGACACAGAGTGCCAGAAGTGCCTTGTTTTATTTATTTAAAGTAGATGAGGCTTAGCTGCCAATACACAAGTTTTTTTGTTTTTCAATTCTTAGTATAATTGCTTAACTGTGGAGATCTACGAGGAAATAAGGGAGGAATGGTTATTTAGCCAAAGGGGGACAATATCTGCAACTGATTGATGAGTCATGGGTGCTTACTAGCCACTTATTTTTCACTTGTTGCCTGCAAAGGTGTTAGAAATACAAAACAAAGGTTAGTTTCATGGGATTTAACTGAAGTAAGGATTTCAAGAGATGTCTCCCAGAAAACACTAGTGTGTACTAATGATGCAATGCCAGATTTCAGTTTATTTGTAGAACAGACACATCATGGTTGCCCGCTGCTCGTCCCAGGTTACCACAGCAGCTCTCACCGGGGGAAGCAGAGCAGGATGCCTTGCTTCTCTGTGCTCTCAATTGAGTTTCCTCATGCCATTTACAGATGGATTACATTCAGACCGTGGAAATCAAATATTTATAAAATCATATTTAACTCATTACCTTGTGTTTCAGTTGAGAATTTCAGGACCAAACAGTAACTCTCACCTTGAAGAGTGTTTTCAATGCCTGGCAACGCAAGGCTGTGGTCCAGCAGTAAGAGCAGTCAGCCATAAGTAACCGAATTTCATCAGGTTGGTGTGTAAATATAATTAAAACTTCAGAGAACTCAAATAAACATCAGACTCTTGATGAGTTAGTTCAGCTGTATGTGGCAAGAGAACTTTGCAAAGCTGATGTTTCTGTATATTGTTGGAGATTTGTCTGCTGTTGACCAAGGGGTTTGTGAACTTGGCGGGGGTCAGGTGGCATGAGGATCCGCGCTGGATTTCTGCTGGCATGTGCCCTGTAAGTGAAGGTACCTGCTACTGTGCAGAGGCTGAGACCTCAGCAAAACTCATTTAACATTAGCCTGGGTTTTACAGACTGTGTCTTCCACTGTTCTTAGAAGTGATGCTCAGTGTGGGTATTGCTTGGAGCCTCTGTGAAGGGCAAGGATCCACCAGGAGAAGCACTGTTTTGGAGCCAAGCATACTGTACTGAGAGTTACTCGAAGACAGGAAAGGGTATTTAATGGGTGTATAATGCCTGTGCCATGATCTCTGTGGCTTAAATGATCTGGAAGCCTCTCCTGGTGTTTCAGAATAACTTCTCATCTCACCTCTTGCATTTTTGTATTCCTCATTCCTGCTGTAGGCCATTGGACGCCCTCACATGCCAGCCTACTGGTCTCTGGGATTTCAGCTCTCCCGCTGGGGCTATGGCAGCCTTGATGTTTTAAAGCAAACTGTCGATCGCATGCACCGCTATGATATCCCGTATGTGAGTATGAATTTTTCACTGCATATGCTAATTTTACAATCTGAAGTGAGTGAATAAAATTATAATAGAGGAAAAATAATTATCCTACAAGAAGAATTGTAGAATAAAAAGATGTTCATAATCATACGTAGCTCTTTTCCCTGTAATGCTTAAAAGAACATTTAAAGTGGGCTTTTAACATGAGGTTTAAGTGCTGCTCTTGGCTGCATAGCAGGTGATTCTGCTGTGGATTTGCTATTATGCAGTTTGAGATGCTAGCATTTTAAAAATACGTAATGGAACTTCTGATGCAGATCACTGCAAAATAGTTGCTAAACTAGGACTTCTACATTTTCATTTTGTCCATTTCTACCATGTAAGTTTGTATAATTGTTACAGCCAATCTCTAAGGTTTCATTTCATACGTTAGTTGCCTTTTAGAAATAGAGTTGCATATGCTCCAATTTCTGTATCAAATACTTCCATTGAAGGCCATCTAGTCCAGCTGCCCTGCAATGAGCAGGAACATCTTGAACTAAACCAGGTTGCCCATCCAATTTAACCTTGAATGTTTCCAGGATCGAGACATCTACCATCTCTCTGGGCAACCTGATCCAGTGTTTTACCACACTCATTGTAAAGAATTCCTTCCTTATATGTAGTCTGAATCTACTCTCTTTTGGTTTAAAACCATCACCCCTTCTCCTATCAGGAGAACAGGCCCTACATAAAAATCTGACCCTGTCTTTCTTGTAAGCCCCCTTTAAGTATTGAAAGGCTACCGTAAGGTCTCCTTGGAGCCTTCTCTTCTCCAGGATGAACAACCCCAGCTCTCTCAGCCTGTCCTCATAAGAAAGGTGCTCCAGCTGTCTGATCATTTTTGTGGTCCTCCTCTGGATTGCTCCAACAGATCCATGTCTTCCATGTGCTGAGAACTCCAGAGATGGATGAAGTATTCATGTAATATTTCCTCTAAAATTGTTTAGGATGTCCAACATCTTGATATTGACTACATGGAACGTCGCCTGGACTTTACCTATGATAAAGTGAATTTTGCTGGTCTGCCAGAGTACATCCAGGAGCTGAAGAAGAAAGGAATGCACAATATTGTGATTCTGGTAAATTAACAATTTTACTGATTTTTTCTCCATTTGTAATAACTAATCATAGCATAGTCTTCACAGCAGTACCTAGGTGCTAACACACATATACTATTGTAACAGATTTTCCATTTTTGTCATTTGTTGACAAATTTGTTGCTCAAGAACAATTTCTCACAGATTTCATCTTTCAAAAGGTTGCATTTATTGGATATCTGTGTAGCAGCACCATCTCTATACCAAAACATTAATTCTCTGTCACTTTTTCCCACTCAGTTATGAGAAATTTTGCCTCTGTTCAGGGCTGAGTTGACATAGGATTGCTTTCATACAATTCTTTCCCTGAAAATGAATAAATGAATTTAAGACACATACAAAAACAGCTGAATAGGGGAAAAAGTCTACTCCTAATCACTCTGGAAGTTAGTAACTACAATTCATGTTGTCTTGTACTTACATTTTATCTAAATTAATGTAAGAGATGTTTATTTGCATGAAGAATTGTGGAAAATGTATGTTGAACGTCTAACCAAAATTGACATATGGCCAAATGAATTAACTTGGACAGAAGTTAAAATTGGAGCTTTCCATCTTCCCCAGTTAATTTATCCAACAAAATTTGCTATTGGCTCCATCACATCCCCATACATGTCCTTGTGCCAAAATGTCACAATAGCTAAGTGAGCGCCAATGGTGGCAAGGGAACTGGAGACCAATTAAACTGAAATTTATACACAGATTTAAATGAAATAGGAAATGAAGTAAAATCCCTTGATAGATTCACAATATCTTGCTCTCCAGGGTCCCCCAGCAGTGCAGCACCGGGAGGGCTGCACTCCCCAGCGCAGGATGCAATTTGTTCTCCGGAACCACTGGGGACAGGATAAGAAGAAAAACACTTTAAACTGCAGCAGGACAGATTTAAGGTAGACATTAGGGTAAGGCTGCCTGTCCGCAAAGGGAGCTGAGCAGGAAGCCAGCTGCCATGGCCAGGGTCCCTCCCCAGGCATGTGCTTTGAACAGGTCTGACAGATGCATCAGGGATGGCTCAGGCTGAGCTGACCCACAGCCACAGTGTGAGGAGAAGGAGGCAATCCCACAGAGTCCCTCTCAGGACCTTTTGCTGTAATTGTAGTCATCTGTTTTCTGCCTGAATGGTCAGTTCACACCTTTCATTTGGGTACTATTTATCTCAAACCACTAGTCTCTCACCCTTCTATTTTCTTTCTTGATACACTGATTTGAACTAGTATATTCTGCCTCAGCCTTTTTTTTCCTAGGCTAAACAAACGGAAGTATCTTATGCTCTTTCTATTGGGTGAGGTCTTCAGATCTTCTTATAGTAGCTCTCTCTCACATGTTCCCAGTTTGAATGCATTTGCTTGAATAGCAGATAACTCAATTTCCCCAGTGTTCCTGATGATGCCCCACAGTGTTAGGAGAACACTATGGAAACAGAACACTATTTCCTTCTTTCTCCTAAAAGTTGTCTCCTATACCAAAGCCCTGCATCACATTTACCTACATTGTATTGGTGGCTCATGCTTGTAAGGAGCCCAGTTAATCCAACTGAATCATAACCTACAGGCCACTAATGTTTGGCCCTAAGTTGCTCCAGTCCTTTTAAAATAAGGGTCACATTCCTCATCTTGTCCAGGGTGTCCTGTCAAAGGCTTGTGGGTAGAGAGACTGAACAGCAGAGTCCTAAATTGTAGTACAGTTCCTTTTTCATTTGTGCTGGTGTACTGGAGTCAAGATAAGCAAGAGCCACTGCAGTTTCCTCATCTAAAAATCACATTATCTTGTCAAGTAGATAGATTCAGGCAGAAATGCCTCCTTGTCCTTATATTTCCCTCCACAATTTGTTGTAAAGTTTAGCATATGACTGGGGATGGACTAGTCAGCACCACAGATGAGTGTTTTCTTTTTAACTGGGAGTTTTTTGATAGTTTATTTAAAAGTACCTTCTCTGTATTTATTATTTGCTAATCTTCACTTTGTTGTACTATAATTCCATTTGCTGCTATGAATCTCAAACAAAACCATGCAGCCCAACTGATCAATTACATGTTGATAAAGGAAATAGTAGCCTGAAGGTTCCATTTCTTCTGCAACTGCAAATCATGAGAAGCTCCAGGATGCAGCAGTGAAATCAGTTTCCATCAGTGGAGAGCCAAGGCACAGAGTTTATACAGTAAGAGATTAGTAAGTCACTCTGATGGAGAGCAACTTTAAGACAAAAATAGTCCCACATTAACTGGATACATCATTGGAAATAACCAAGTAGTAAGTGAGCACATGTGCTGTCAGGATTAAGTACTCTTTCTGTTAGGCAGTTTAGGCTCCTTGTATCCTCAACACTGCTCTAAAAATTATCTCATCTCTTAGAGATGTGACATTAATTACCACCTGCCTGTTTATTGGTTTATCTCAAAAAAGTTTGCAAAACATTAATGTATGAGCAAAATACCAGGAGTTTGGGGTAGCTCTTCCCATGCAGTCTTGCCCTTCAATAAATACATGGCAGTCACCTCTTTTTCATCAATGTCAGGATGTTTCCAGTTGTTTTGCACTTGCTACTGGGTAAGAAGCTACAGGCAAGCAGTTGTGATTTAGTGGGTGAGCTACATTATCTTCTTACTTGTGAATTTAACGTCAATAACATTTCTAAAGCCCTTTCAGTTTCTCAGGTGGCGCATTCTACATCAGTGCGGGAAGTATTACTATATAAATTCAGCTGTTAGACAGATGCAAGGAATATAACAACTACTCTTAAGTCATGCAATGAGCTAATGGGAATCCAGATAGGAAACCCTTCTTTCCTCCTTCCACTAAGCTATAACTAAGGACTGTCTTTTGTTCTAGTTCTTTAGCTAAGCTTGTGAAGAAAGAACAAAAGCTGAGCCAGTTTATTCTTACCATTATTTAAAAGCTAATGTGAAGTATAGGTTACACCAGTACTGAAGTTTTCTATTTTCACTTTACTACAGTTGCTGACATCCCATCAAACTCTGTTAGCATTCTTTAGTGATTCCCTAAGTTGAGTCAGGAGCTGGAACAGTATGAAGGGTTTCATTTCCAAGTGTTAGCAAAGCCAAGCTAGTTGCAATCAAGGTAAGCGTAATCCAGTTTGATACCGAAAGAACAATTTACTTTTAGATTCCCTTTAGGTAATGACAGTAATGGGTGAGTTTCCAAAGTATAGCAGATTGTTGCCTTCCTCAAGATGATTTCAGGAAATGAGCTCTGACTGCAGCCACTTAGTGTCATGTAAAACCTTTGCTAAATGGACTTGGGAGTGCAGATCCTGACAGCCAGCAGTATTAACACAGGTGACTGGTCTGAGGATGGGACCCTGAACTCAGTTGTGCCACCATCACTGGGGTGGCTGGTGCCTCACAATCAGGAGGTCCAGTCCCCAGTGCTGGGAGCCCTCAGTGATTGTGGTCACCTTGATAGTAGCATGGCTCCATCACTGCAGCCTCTAAGTGCAGCCCGTCAGCACTTCTCTCTCCTGACCTCCTTCAGAGGCCATCTCAATTTAAGGGAAATTTTGACTTAGAGTGTCAGTGCTTGGCCATCATTATTGTGCTAAATAATGTTCATGCTTTGCTGTGTCAGAGCAAATATATTCTTTAGAAACAACAAAAAAAAGTTCTAAAAGTAACAATGACTACAGTGAAAAATTATAAACATTATTACTGAAGAGGAGCCTTAATGAAAGACCTTGTATACCTTCTATTAAATCACACTAAAAATAGAAAGAGCTAGGAATGACATGAGTGACAAAATACAAGTCAGTAGCAACATGCTTATGATTCAAAATAATGCTTGATAGCTTTAATGTTTTAGAGTCAAGCTCTGTGAGCTGTAGAGGCTAAGATTTCCAGAGATGAGTATTTATGAATGTGCATCAAAGTCTATGACTGGGGCCATAGGTGGAAGTGCATCGGACTGGATAAGCGCTGTGTGCTCCCAGGTCTTTAAGCAGTCAGTTGGAGTTAAGGATGCTCAGCACCTCCTTCCCAAGAGCTGCTAAAAAGATGAATTATGGAAGATTTAACAGGCATGAACCTCTTCCCTCACAAACAACCCTTGAATGCATGGAGGGGTTTTTGTCTCTTTAGGACAATACTAAACCTGCATAATATATTAGATTTGTGCTCTGGAATAACCTTTCAGTTGAAGGAAACCAGAAGTTTGGATTAGGAGTAACTAATTCAGCTCACTTCTTCTAGCTTTCAAGTCCCTTGAGAGGCATCTTTTCTACATTTATAACATAAGTATTGCAGATGGACAGTTTTCTCTTTTCCAAAGTTGAACTATTAAATAAGTTAAAATGTAATGGACACCTATACTCCTTATGAAGGTGACACTGGAGCTAGATAGTTAAACAGAACTTTACACTTTAAGTAGGGATTTAGCTGTAGCTTTTGTTTTTGAGGCATGGAAGAATATAATTCCCTCACCAGGGCTATAGTTATCAGAGGACTTATAAGTAAATCAGGCAATTAATTCAGGTATTTAAGTGAGCTTTAAAACATACCTTTAGAGATACTTAGCATTTGGGATCTGATATTTTTTGTTTTCTAAGAAGTTCATTAGTTAGACTTTTATCATATCTTAATTAAAATTCACTTAAATTATTGCACAAGCTATAAGTGAATGGAAGAATTGTTTCAGTGGTGTGTTTCTCTATGGTGTTTCCTAACTGAAAGGTTTTGCCTAAAGCAGAACCTGAGGGAATAACATTTTCTAAGAAAAAAGTAAAGAATTCCTTTCTAAAATGGCTGCAATCTTCATCTGTTCTAAATTACAAAAAGGAAATAGCTGCTCACAATTAGTGACATATTGCAAAGTGCACTTATCTCCTTTTAGTTGCAGCTGACTGCTGAGCAGAGTTGAATAGTATCTCTTCATTCACTGGCATCTCAAAGCATTGATAACTTTATTACTTACCGGCATGGTGGGCCTCCCTCATCCCCAGAAGCCAATCAGTCTCCCTTTCGATGAGCTTTGTGGCTACTGGTGGCCATCCTGAGGCAGAGAAGCTGTTGGTGTCAATGCCACAGACAGCAATAGGAGGTGGTGATCCCCCCAAGCAGTGAGAGGGGCAGCAAGGACGAGCTATGGAGTCTAAAATGCTATGGTTGTGATGCCTGGGGAGAACAGAGGCGTAATGCCCCACATGTGAGTTGGGTTACTCTGCATCAGACCGGCATAAAACACCCTTGTCCAACATTGGTTCTGAATGGAGAGCTAAAGGGGTCCTTCTGAGGTTTCAAGCCCCTTGAAAAGTTTTAGTTATTCCAGCATTGAGCTGTTGATGCTGAGGCAGCTGGTATAGGGATTGCCCTGGAGGAACCCCAGAGGTGTCCAGGTGTGGGAATGCCCAGCATAGGATCCACCCATAGCAGAGACCTTGGTGTGGGGGCTGTAAAATCTAGTGCCTCTCTAAACTAATTTGAACATCGAATGCCTCATAAAAAATAAACATGAGAGTATTTAATAATTTTACATTGCTTTTGCCTTATACAAGAAATACTCATGACATATCTTTAACGACTTTTTCTAAATTAGTATGTGCTCTCAACTCTTACTAAATTTTAATCCTATTTTCTTCCAATATTTTCACAATCTGCACTAAGAACATAATCCAAATTTTTCTAAAATATACATATAGAAGAGTAATTGTTACCTCTGGGATTTCAATAATGGAAGTGTAATTGCTGTTTTCAGGACCCTTTCATAACCAAGGATGAGGAACCAGGCACTTACAAACCTTATGATCTTGGCCAGGAAATGGGAGTCTGGGTGAACAACTCTGATGGTGTAACTCCTGCTGTTGGGCAGGTGAGCTTTTTAATTTTCTGATGCATTTGGTCTAGTGCTGCTTCAAAATCATACAGCAGCTCTGCAACAGAAATGGGAAAATAACCAGGATTTACACCTGTGACCCCTAGGCCTGGCCTCCTGGAGATTCCGTGTTTCCTGACTACACCAACCCCAGGACAGTGGAGTGGTGGACCCAGCTGTGTCTGGAGTTTAAGGATGTCCTTGACTACGATGGGATCTGGATTGTATGTCTCATTATATCTGCCCTCCCTTCTTTAAAAAAAGAAAATGAGGCTTTTAGCATGTGTCTCGCTCTCGTTATTAAAGGATATGAATGAACCATCCAATTTCTTAAGAGGCCAATATCCTGGATGTGCTGATAATGAAATCAATAACCCTCCTTACATTCCTAGTAAGTAAAATTTCCTTGTTGTTTTTCTTTTTTTTTTGGGAAAAAAAAATCCATCCTCTCATTTTACATCTTTCCTTGTCTGTTCCATGTGTTCAGTTACACATCTGTTCAAGACTCCAGTGGCTCAGCTTTGATGGAGTATCAAAAATCAACCACTTTTGTCTGTCCCTGGGTCTGCCTTGTAACAGGACTAGAAAAATGACCTTTCCTGCCATTCTCTGAGCAACTGGTCAGCATCAAAAAAAAAAAAAGGGCAAGATACCTATATACTATAGCTCAGCCACAGATTTATGGGAGGAGTAACCCTTCTGCTTTACCATCACCACTGCTAATCTCAGAGATGGGCAGTCTTTGCCTTCTTCACAAACCATGACAAGGAAGAGGGGATCTCCTTGGTTCCTTAATTCAATACATTGCCTTTCTCTTAGGAAAGAAATTTTCGCTGTGTTACTAGAAATGGGCTAAAAATAAGTTTAAAACTGTCCAAGCCTACAGGAGAGTTACAGGAATGGGAAAACCTGTTCCAAGAGCTGAGTTAATGATATACTCATTCTTCCCCAGGAAGCCATGAGTACTTACAATTAGTACCAGTGGTCCTGGCAGTTAATCCAGCCAACATTTCCCCAGGAAAGCCCAGCTGCCTAAGCAATGTTAATATGCAGCAGGAAGTTGATACATAAATGAGTTATTGACAGTGAAATATTGGAAATATTCCCTTTTTCCCTTCGGGCTTTTGTACCGTCATGGTCGAGTAGTGGAACAGGCTCCCCAGGGAAGTGGTCACAGCACCAAGCCTGACAGAGTTCAAGTGTTTGGATGATACTCTCAGGCACATGGTGTGACTCTTGGGGATGGTCCTGTGCAGGGCTAAAAGCTGGACTTGATGATCCTTGTGGGTCCCTTCCAACTCATCATATTCTGTGATTCTTAACTTTCTTTATTAAATCTCAATTCTTTTCACTCTGAATATAAGAGAAGCATAAACATAACAAAATCATGACAAAATACTATAAAGAGATTGTAAATTTTTGAAAGCAGAAGCAGAGCTTTTAATTATGGTTTTGGTGTTTGCTCTCTCTGTATGGAAACCACTGCATACTGGCCCTGTGGGTCTTGACCAAAGCTGAGGAACTGATGAGACATTTCCATCTTTGCCTTAAGTTACCTTCATTTTTTGCCAACCTTCAGAGCTGTGAAAAAAGATGTGAGACTTTGGAGAAGATGGCCAAAATATCAGAGATCCCTTTATCCTTTGTTTTTATCCCTTTTTATCCCTTTGTTTTGAACCAGTGTTTAAGGGCTTTCTTTTATATTTCACTTAATGCCAACTCTGTCCATGCTCTTATCTATCCAAGCCCTCAACTGGTGTAGATATGAGATGGGACCCAAGTGGCTTAGTCCAACAAGACATTAGGACCTTCCTGGGGCTAGCAGAGTTTTGGGGGCTCACCATTTTCTAGGTGATTTCATCTATGCAAGTCCCTATCTCAGTGCCTCTGGCCTTTTGTCAGTGTAGCCTGCAAGCTCCTTATCTAAATTTTATAACCATGATTACACATAACCATGGTTTGAACTTCTGAAAACAGATGTCCTTCAAATCAATTTTCTATAAAACACTTTATGCTGAAGATTAATATGCAATTGTAAAATAATCAGTATTACTGAGGCAGAATACAAAATATTCCAAATAGGAATGAAGGATGAAGAATGAAACTGTGATCCATGTGGCAGCATTTTCTTTTCTATCCCACCTTAATTTTATGAGGCTAATAATCAAGTGCCACTGGGACATTGTGTGACTTTCCTCAGAACCTTAGTGTCCTCTTCAAATACGTATCAGTCAAAGTTACTTGAAAATTGCCTATAAATTAAGTTGTGTCTGATGTAGATCAGCCACACTGGAGTCTTTTGTCTAAAGATCCAAACACAAGGATTCTAGCTGTGGTGGCACAGCAGAGCAGAGAGGCTAAGGTGGTATCATGTACAGAGAAATGCACAGTAGTAATGAACTGCAAACATATAGGAAGTGCAATTAAGCAGGGAAATTGCTTGTTCATGGAGAAATATTTACAATAGTGCATGCACCTAATTAGCGTGCAAAAGAAGAATATTTTAGAATCTACCTTTTTTTTGAGAGAGAGAATTTTATAACAGATTCAACTCCATCTTTGAAAATAAATACATTGTATAAACTAAACATCTGACCTGCCCGATTCCTGCTGAGCTTCATGTGGCATTTTCATGGCAGTTACCTGCAGAGGATAAAAAATTTTTTGCACCAAATAGGCTTTGCCACCATCTCCTTAATATGGGATCAAAGACCAGGCAGCATCTGTGCAGCCAATTTATGCCTCATTTTGCTTACCTTTGAGTCAGCTGCAGCTGTGCCAGTGACATCAGGCCTATCCCTGACTATTACTGAAGGCAAAATTTTCTACAACCTCTGTCTCCTGCTGATAGACAGAGTTACTGGATAGTCCATTCACATGTGAATATACCTGCTATAATCTGTCCTGGTTCTCTTCTGTGCAGCCTATCAGGCCGTAGCCACCAACAGCCTGCAGACTGCTGCACCTCGTGCTTTTTCCTCCCCTGCCCGCCTCCGACCCTCCCTGCTCTTGAGGCAGTGCCATTAGTCCTGCTGCCTTCCAGTCCTAAGTGCCTCAGGGCAAGGGGTGAGCCAGAGCTGAGTTTAGGTGTGAATTTTGCTGTGATAGGGCAGAACTGTGGTACCTAACCTGCATCTGCAGCTGAGTGATACAAACACTGAGGTTTTAGGATTTCACACAACCATACAGGTTCCCTGGACATCTGAATTTCTGTTTGGTTTTCAGTGATTTTATTTTTTTTCCCTAGCAACGTTTTTACTATTAAGTAAAATTTCTCACTGTGTAAATAATGTGTAGGTGTATTCTTAATTAGGCAATGCAAAATTTTTCTTTCTGACTATTGCTTACTAAACACATGATACCTGTCCAGATGTTTTGAATTATTTAACATAGAATTTGAAAGGAATTATCAGTCCTCTCCCCCCCTCTGAGGACACGTGTCTGTCTGCATCAGGTATTCATAGTTACATGCTAACCTCATGTCAGTGCAGGTCAAGCAACTGAGCTTTTCCTCTTCCCAAATCCTTTCATGTTTTCACCCCAAAATGTGTAGAAATGTGAAGAGATTTGAATTTTGATATATGTGATTTTACAGTGTTTTGTATCATTCTCAGGCATTTCAGATCGTTCTCTGTCTCAAAAGACATTGTGTCCTGACTCCAAGACTTACCTCGGAGAGCATTATAACACACACTCTCTCTTTGGCTGGTCACAGACAGAACCAACTTTCAAGTGAGTTTTCTAAGTATTTCTAGTCAGATTCATGTGATTGAAACACATTTGAAAAACTGCTGATGTTACCCGGGAAATCTGTAATAGTATCTAATAAGAAACATTGTTTCATTTTACTGTTCATCATTTTGTATGAGGTTTCAAAAAAAGAGAATCTTGGAAGAAGGAACAGAATATATTCTAATTTTACTTTTCTTAGCTAAATCAGGGCCTAACTTTTCAGCTGCTGCTTTAGTGTATCTACAGCAAGATGTTCTTATCCTCTGTTAGAGCATCTCATGAGCAGCTGCAGAGGCAGCTTTGTGTGATCCCAGGGCAATTTTTCTGTCCCTTCGTTGTTGTGGCAGAGGAGTTTCTATCACTGTCAATGAAGAATCTGAACTGTTCAGCTCTCCCAGCTGTTTCTGGGGCTGCCTCTGGTTCCTGGCAGGCAGTGTTTTGCAGTTTGGCTTGGGACTCAGTTCAGGAGGGCAGAGCTGCATTGCAGCACAGTTGCTGTCAGCTACTGTAAAACTCATTTTGCAGCTGGGAAGCATTCAAAACCAGCTTACACAGACAGACTGTTGCTGTGAAGCTGGAATGACAGTGGAAAGCTACTTGTTGGATTAAATCAAATGGGCAAATCATGCCTTTTCCAGCAGGCATTGAGCTAAAACACGGAGCAACTTAATACCACAATGGAAGTGCAAAGCAGGGGTCCATATGCTGGCCAGTTTCAGCATTTAGCACTCATTTTCAGCAGTTGGATTGTGATAGCATCCAGAGGACACGGCTAAGTGAGCCTAATTACGGTGTTGATGCATTTGTATTTTATATGCCAAGCCCAGGGGAAAGGAAGCAGCGGGTAAAAGCCAGAAGTGGTTTGCCAGCTCTTGTGGGCTCGGCTGAAGCACAGTCCAGCTTTTGAGAGAAGGAGCAGAAAGCCCTCAAACCCTGGACCTCTTAGCATCGTTTTTGGCCCCCTATGCCCCAGTGTCAGAAGAGGTCCTCCCAGCACTGGTCTCTCCACCAGGATTTGCTCTCTGCACACTGGAGTTCACATAACCATACACTGTCTTGGAAGTACTGTGAATAGGGCCTTCAGATTTCCTATCTTCTTGAGCTGTTTTTTTAGCTTTATTCAGTCTCTGTGCCAGCAAAGGCAATTGCCTGAGACAAACCCTGTGAATTCAGCAAGAAAAGCTCCATGTGCAGGCACACTTGCCCCAGTCCCTTCAGTGCACACACTGTCCCAGCTGCGCTATTCCAGACTAATGCCATTGGGACAGTTACTGCTGCACAGCTCCTCACAGCCTCCCCTGTGGCTGTGAACCTTCCCCTTTCCTGCAGCACTTGCTTCCAGGGCTCTTTACAAAAGAAACATATTTTGCTCAAATGTAGAGAGTCCTTCAATACTGGAGAATACCACCAAAAGCATATGCAGAGGTTGGATTTGCTGCAAAGCTGGGAAACTTTGGTGAAGTATTTTTCATACATATTAATTTGATTTTCTCAAACACATTTCTTTTCAAGGCTGGTTTTATACTCTTTCTGCATTTGCTCTTCACAAATAATATGCTAAATTAAATTACTGACAGGAATATTTAGCAACCAGCATCAATTGCAGGATATTCTCTGAAAATGAATGACAACTTCATAATCGTATAAAAAACCAATTCTAAGAATTATTCTAAGGCAGACAGAGAATAGGAAATGTGTCATCTGCCCCATGTCAAATGATTTGAATTTGAATACATAAACTAGCAGCAATCAGTTTGTGCATAGCTTAATGCCAAGAGTTATTTGCACACGATATTCTGTAAATAATTTAAATCAACAAATACATTTGACAACATTAGGACATGTTCATCAATGGTTTGCGAAAGACTGAAATTATTCAATAAATTACTTGTTGCAAATTGTTTATGGAGCTCTGAATCATAGTTGAGTTGATCTAGTATTGTCCTCATTAGCACCTGTATTTGCAAATGGAGCTAAAAACAGCCAGAGGAAGAGCACTCTTACTCAAGACATCCATGAAATGGCTCTAAAATGCCATTTGTACAAAGCACTTGGAGCCTTGTGCAGTTGTTGGGCCCAGCAGTGCACCTGCAAACCAGAACCAGCAGGTCCAGTGAGGTTCAAGAATTGTACCTCTTGCTGCATGTGGTCCCTAAGGTTAATATGTTTAGTCCTCCATGAGAGCTGTTTGGTTTTTTGCTTCAGAAACAAGTGTTGAAGCACTTTGAAGTCTCCCTGCCATTACAGACCCAATAGCAAATACTGGGCCATTACAATTACGGATGAAAGAGCTCTTGAACAAATCTCATTAAGAAAAGGGAGAAGGAAGTGGATGGTGAACAACATGATTAACATTTCATGCTAGGATTTCCCAGGGAATCTAAATTTTGTTATCCAAATTGTATTTAAGCAGAGTTGAATTTGAGTTCCTGCAATATATAATATTGCAATATGTAATTACGTACAGAGATGACCCTATGTTGAGGAATTTTTTAATAGATCTGTTAATAAGACTTATTGCACTTCATTGATTTTCTGGTGATGCAGTAAAATTATTTTCAAAAAGCAAGGAAAAATTCATTGTACCACTAATTCTGTAATGAAACCTCATATATCAAACCACGACAGGAAAGCAGAGGATGGGGGTGACATTTTGAATGATTACATGTTTGTTTTCTATATTGATTATTTCTTTTTAATAAGATGTTTGGATATAATTTTGATATTTTTTGTGGGTTTTTTTGCTTTTAATTCCAGAATATTAAAACTTTATTTGCCTATAAAAATCTCTAAATAAATCCTACATTGAGAAAAATACATATTGTACTGTTTTTTGGGAACCCACAGGACACTAAATTAAATGTACTAATACAGAAAGGAAATTATGTTTCAATTTTTCAGTTTGAGACACTGCTGAGAATAAATTAAACACACATTATTATTTAGGAAGACTAAAAATACCTGAGACAAATTGTTTTGTGAATCAGATAGACAATAGTTTTTTTTACTTTGACCACTGAGCAAAACTTTCCTTTATTTGCAGTTTTGCAGCCACATTTTCATGTGACTTGGGATCACAGTAATAATTGTTTCTTGAATAACATCCCGTGTGATAAAATTGTGCCTGCATGCTCGGGTTGATCATACGATTTTTTTGGTTGCCAGTCTTATTTTTAATGACCTTGTTGCATTTCTTTGCAGTGTTGTCCAGGAGCCACTGGAAAGCGAGCATTTGTCTTGAGTCGGTCTACGTTTGTTGGCAGTGGGAAGCATGGGGCTCACTGGCTGGGTGACAACTTCTCTCAGTGGAAGGACCTGCGCCGGTCAATCATTGGAATCCTGGAATTCAACCTCTTTGGCATTCCCTATGTAAGTCTGGCGTCCTTCAGGCAGTTGCTGGCTCATACACGATATCACTTCAAATTAACTCAAACGTTTTCTGAAATAAGCCGCTTGAGGTGGCCAGCGGTAACGGCCTCCACTGCGTCAGGAGCTGCAGATTAGAAAAGGCTAAATGTCATCAGTCTTGGCTGCTGAAGGGAAACAGAAATAGCTCTGCAAGATTCAGACTGAGTCACTACATGCCATCCAAAAGCGATCCCTTTTTATTATGTTGTTATCATATTCTGTGTTTGAGGTCCCTTCATACATTTCTGGTTTTGCAAGCTGGGATGGAGAATCTGTAGAGTTATTGAAATATGGTCAGATCTTCCACAGTGATCTTAGTGCTCTAGGAGCGAGTACAATCTCAGCCACAGAAATATTGTTATCATTATGTAGCACTTTTATCAAGTACTTAGAAATAGGTTTTACTTTCCATAAATTATCTTTTTCAGCAAATTTCTGTAGTTCCGCATTTTTGGGCCTCAGTCACAATAATAATCACGATTTTATTTTTCTTTAGATTGGTGCTGATATCTGTGGGTTTAACTGTAACACTACCTATGAACTCTGCCTGCGCTGGATGCAGCTTGGCTCTTTCTACCCATTTTCCAGAAATCACAATGCAGAGGGAAACAGCATAAGTAAGCAAAGTTACATAAAGCTATAGTCTTATGATTACAGTTATGTCGGCAGTGATTCGTGTTACTTTCTCAGAAATTAACCTGCCATTCTTGGGTAAACTGGAGCAGTGGGTGAAAAGGAGTGCTGCACTGAGAGGGGGAATTACACAGGGAAGTGTAAATTTTTCCCATTCATAATGTAAAGATAATATAGAAATGCTACTCTTCTCATGCTGTTGGTAAAATTCATCTGCTCTATTTTCTACCTACTGAAGCCCAAGTTTTATTTAAAAGCCAGTGAGAGCCAGCATATATTCCTACTCCCTCGATTGCTTCAATTTTTGTTTCTGTACTTCTGTAATTATAACAAGTATTACAGGAAGGGGAGAGAGATCATTATACGCTATCCTTGCTCTTTAAAAGAAGGTTACAAACATGTGAAAACTCCAAAGAGAGGCACCAATAGTGACAGCATTATCAGCCAAGAGGCAACCAAGACCAAAAAGGCCAAAGAGCCTATGAGATGGATGAAAAAGTGCAGTCTCAGTCCAGACCCGTGCCCTGGCTTCAACATCATAAAGTCCTTTAAAGACTTGTTGCAGACAGAAAGAAGTATCGGGTTGTTTCTAGCTATGAACTTTGAAGGTCTTGCAGCCTTTGTAGATATGCTGTGTTTACCTGCAACCGTGATGAAATGGTTCTGCTGGTTCAATAAATGTTTGGGGCTTTTTTCCTTCTGTAAACTGGTCTGTGCAGTGCTGGAACTCAGTTTATTTGCTAACCTTCAGTTTCTTTGAAGTTGCATCATCAAAATTTTGCAACATTTACAACCCCAGACAGGCTTTTGTCTCTGCATGATGGATATTCAGCAATTGGGCAAATGCAGGAATAATAAGCTATAGTACTATCAGTAAGAGAGTCAGGAATTAGCCTGTGGATCTCTGAGATATGCTGAGGTATTTCTTTGTAGAACAAATGTCTGGGGGGTGTTAGCTGTTGATAAATATTTTCTATTTACCTCTTCACTAAAGTTAGAGGTACCTATATATTATTTATATGGTTGCTTGGCTCTTTGAGCGTCCAAAGGGGGTCTGACCTGGGCGAGTGGGTATATGTACAATTTAATAAACAGTAAGAGAGCAATGGCTCTATATGATGGGAGCTGCAATTCAGAGATACATTTGGTTTTACTGGATTACTTAAATCCATTTAAAGCATTGTGTTCACTGAAAGAGACAAACAGGTATTTTGGTTCACTGAGCATCACCTAGGAAGTCCGACTGTTTTTGTGAAATTAGGCAATATTCATACAGCGTCAGAACACTGGTAAAAATATAGTGCAATTTTTGAAATAACAGATAGATGCTCTGGAGCTCAGAGCCAGCAGGGAGTATTATTAGTGACTAATTCTGATGCAAACATAATAATGGTGAAATTTTACTAAAATATTGAGTTTAATTAACATAAAATTATTGTTAAAATAAAATCTTAAATATCCCCTTTGCCTAATTCACTGGGGATTTCAAACAGTTTAATTAATACTTTTCTTGTCTGAAAAGCACTAGATAATATAAAAAGCTTTGTTACTTCTGTTCCTTTTATGTTTCATTATCCTTGGAATTTGTCATATAGTCTTCAATTTTAATGAGAAAACTGAGTACTATGGGAAAAATTTTGTGAAGGAGGAAGGTAGCCATGTGACTCATTAGCTGGCTGTTTAGCACTGGAGAAGGTCGGAAGGGGGAGTTAAAGGAGATGTAACTACTTCCTGTATCAGCACTGCCCTGGGCTGCACACTCTGCATCCCATTCCGGGGGGAGAGTCAAGGTTGCCTTGGAGTAAGATCAAAACCAGCCAATGAATACAGACAATGTTTGAACCTGCCCTCTTGAGGGTGGGACCCAGTGCATGCCCTTTCTCATAGGAGAGCATCGCTGGCAGGGAGGAGACGAGGGCCACAGCTGATGTGTCCTGTCATCCTAAAATGGTGGGCACAGGAGGAGAAATCAAGTTTCTTTGAATGGATGAAATGTTTTCCCCACTGCACACAGTGTGATCACTCTTGTTGGCTTCAGCAGGGCCATGAGTTTGCTTTTTTAAATAGATTTACCTTTATGTATCTGGCCAACATAATTAGGCTTTTGACTTTGATTTGCAGATTATCGGTCTTCCCTTTTTCCTGTGTTTCACCTTCATTGTCCCAGAGGGCTTGCATCTTCAGGATAAACTAATTTCTAGAGACAGGGTGTCTGTTCCCGAGCACAGACATGAAACCCCAGCTCCCCTCCCACCACAAGGTTCACTGGTTGCAGAGGGCTCACATACATACACTGTGGTGGGGCCTGATCTCTTTGAACTCACTGGAGTTTTTCAAGTTGAAAAATTTATACAAGCATAATGGATATATGGTAGTAATGGATGTTGTCCTTAATACATCTTCCAGTTTGCAAATCAGTGCTTTTTCTTATTTAAACACTCGCTTTCGTAGCATCATGTCAGCCACAGCTCTCCTCATGTTCCACGAGTTCTCTTTTGAATTTGCAGACCATACTTTCAATGCTCAGTACCAATCAAAGCTTGTACTTAACAGGAACAAGACCCAGCGGTGTTCGGAGACGAGTTTGCCGGGATATCTCGTGCTGCCCTTCAGATCAGATACTCACTGCTGCCATACTTGTACACCTTGTTCTACGAGTCTCACGTGCACGGAAACACAGTGGTGGGGTCACTGATGCACGAGTGAGTTTGGAGTCTCTCTTTTTTATCATAATTTTTTCACAAAATTATTTGAGCTATTACATATATGTATGTATAAAACAGTTGACATCTGTACGAGAATCATCACAGTATTGTTATTGCATGCTCTCTCTTGAAAGAGCAGTCGAGCAATTAATCAAATTATATGTACAAAGGTAACTCTTAATATATGCAATGAATTTCCATTAAAATATAACCTATATTTGTTTCTAGTGGGGGGAAAACAGAAAATCTAAGAAAGAAGAATTCTGAAAATTTCTAGTCTTAGGCAAATATGTAGTTCTTTTTTATTTCAAAAATAGGAATCACATACCTGTATTTTCTGTGTTTGAATGAAATAGATGAAATCTGTATTCTCGTCCAGAATGCCAAAAGGCCTCATACAGAGAGTCCAATCATCCACAGCATTTGTTTTTTTCTAATTTAGCACTTGCATCTGCAAGCTATCTATGAAACCCACATCTGTGTCCACAAATTGCAGGGAGAAAACAGAGATGTTTGAGTGTAGAAGCAGGTGCAAAACTGAGATTAATAAATACAGACTGAAAACCCTCTCAGAAAATTAGACTCAGATTTTTGGAACAACTCATTTTTTCTATTTGGAAGAAGCAGGAATCCAACTGAGGTTTAGTTTCCCTTTCCTCATCTTTTAATTAGTTTTTTACCTGCTTTTGGTAAATTTTCTACTTCAGAATGCTTTATGCAAAGACTTGAGCAAAAGGAGTGCAAATAACACATATGAAAGGCTACTGCCCGAAGCTCTGCACCATTTAGTTTCATTGGTGTAGGCTACGCTGTGGACTGTTTAATGTTTTTTTTCCCTTTAGGTTAAAAACATTCTGGTTAAAGGGTAAGGCATTTTTTGCAAATTAAACTGAGATTACACTAAAGTGCAGACCATTCAACCATGGAAAAGATATGCTTACTCAGCATACTGGTTAACTGATAAATTTTAAAAGCAGTATCCTTTCCCTTTCTACTCTGCAGTGTTGTTTTACTAGGTAACATTAAGGAGAATTCTATAGGTACTCATATCTTACAAAGGGCTATATGTTATTTATTTTAGCTCTATTTTTTGCATAATGAGATTTGTGTTAATATTGGAAATGCCCAAGTTAATTTTGGCATTAATATTAGCTAATCTCTGCTAATTATTTTGGTGTCATTAAAACTGCCTTTCTGACCATTACCAGCATACCTATACTCTATTTGGGCCACATCTACATTAGCAAATTTCCAAATTTGCTTTGATTTGAACTGTAGAGCAGTCTCAGATGCCCTAGTAGAGGCTTATGTTGAATGAAACTGAGCCAAGGGGTGCACTCCAGCCACTGATGGTAGTTTAGTCAGTGGGACCAGAACGGGATTACTAGGAAATAAAACCTCTAAAATACATGTAAGTGTAGGCATCAGGAGACCAACACAAACTGTTTCACTCCCCAGGTCCCATCCCAGTGACATCTTAGTAGCCCCATCACTTGCTAATGTTGCCATAGCTAGATCCCAAAATGGCTTAAAAGTGTTTCTTACTATTATTGAAGTCTATTTACTATTATTACTTAATGAGTATTTCTTATTATTTCTAATTAATATTAATTCTTTTAGTAGTGGGTCTACTTAAATAGAGAAAGTGACCCAGATGCTAACAGGAGGAGAAATGTGGGGCATTGAGAAAGAGAGAGCTGAAATAGAATTTTCAGTGTATGGAGGATGGAAGTTTACAACAAACCTTTCTCTTACTTGTAAAAAATACAAAGGAGCGCTAAAAAAACTCCTGTTTTTTGGGTGGAGCTCTTATGAGTTCACAGCTCTCACCATGAAAACAATTGTGCCTGGGCAGACTGACTCCAAACAATAGGTGTTTCATGTGGTCATTTCAGATTTTTCATTCCATTTCAAACATTGAGGGGCTTGTTTCAAATAATAAACAAGAACAACATCCCAGTAGATTCTTACAAGCATATTAGGTGCCTCTGAGGCTTTCAGTCTGTGAAACAGAGGCGTCAGCATCTCAGCTGTCCAAGAAGACCATAAGGTGGTAATCCATTAGTGGAAGGGAAAGTTCTGTTTAATGGCTAAGCAGGGGAAAAATACAACAGGAGAGAGGCCAGCATCTAACCAGAGGAAGCATGTAGAGGGAATTAAGGACCTTTCATAGATCAGAGACATGGTTTAATGGCTTATCTTTTCAAAATAGGAAAGTTCATTTGTTTGTGAATTTCTGCTTGTGGTTGCTATAATTGCAAGAGAAACTAGTTCTGTTAGATCAACTTCTCTTTTGTCATAATTACTTGATCAGCTTTTTTACCTGAAATCTCCCACAACAAAGCATATTGAATTAGTATTACAAGTTTATTACAGTGGAAGCTATAATTACAGAGAAGCTATTAAGATGACAACAAAAACTAATGTTTCATATTTCAAAATCTTTACAACAAGGTAATTAATCAAAAGCCATAACCTGCTTTAAATATTTACAAAGTATTATGTGAAAATGCAATAGCAAGCGGGATGGAAGTGTCCAAAAGAGCTACTGTTCTGGACAGAAAAAGAACCTCTGAATAAGTTGAGGTTTCTTTCAGACAGAGCCCAAGGCTTGCCTTCAAGAACAACTTTTCCTAAGTTCCACATACTCTCCTAATCTTGAAACATTTTAGAAATCTGAACACTCAGTAGGTGTCTTTTTATTGCCAAGTTATCTTTGCTCGTTTTGGGGAAATTTCTGTAAGTCTGGGCTGGGTGCAGTGTGTGCCTATGCCCTGAGCAGGCAGGGTGTCAGAGCAGGGCACCGACACTGAGTGACTCTGCTCTGGCCAGCTTACAACAGAAATCTGGCTTTAAACAGGGGCAGCTGCAAAGTCAGTTAAACAGATGCAGTAAATACATTTTTAAACAAAGAATTTATATGTCCTTAGAGAATAATATGTAAATATGCAATAGCCAGTGTGAATTTGTCAAAAATGAATGAAAACCAAACCAATTTCCATCTCTGACAAGGCAGCAGGGCTGTTGGATGGGAAAGGGGGCAGAGGAGAGGCAGAAGTCAGGAGGTACAAGGTAACTTGATTTTAGGAGGATTGCAGACACACTTCATGCGATATTCTTATAAGATAACTAGAATCTATTAGTAATTTCCTCAGGTATGGATTTACAAATTCTTGGAAGCCATTTTAAATTCTCAAGGATTTTATGCCAGATGAGTGGAGGTTCCTGAGATGGGGAAGATCTCTCCTCTTTGCCAGATGCTGTTCAATATTTTCATTAGCTGATATATGGTGGAATAGTGATTTCTTCCCAAGAGAAGGCAGATGTTGCCAGGTGAACGGGACTCTGAGCACTATGGAGGACACGATCAGGATCCAAAACAATCTTAGTGCATTGAATAAAATGGACTGAATTCCATAGGTTTCTAATCCATTCTAGAGAGGCAGCTAAAAAGAAGACTATGTATAAATGTTGCTTTGTGTTTGTCTTGTGAAAGATTTCAAATGTAAATCTGTGAAAGGTGTGGGAAGCCAGATCCAAGGATTTTCACAAATGCTTTAGATCATAGAGTGGAGTGTTTTTCATCTGTGTTCCATCTCCTGGTCCTGGCCCCTATCCTGCTCATAGGCTCCTGCAATGAAGACTCGGCTCACTGGACAGAAATTAAGTTTGTTTACTCGCTGTTGCTGCTCTGAAAAGAAGTCAGCTAGATAGGTGCTACTGTAATTTCTGAATCTCTGCCCAGCTTTTGGCATTCCCTCAATCAGCAAAAATATTTGGTGGTGTTGAAGGATATCTTGAGGAAGCAGAATTCTTGTCACAGTGAGTAATATCAAAATATTCGACAAGTTCTATCAAAATGTGAATTAATATTGTGTATTTCACTTTCAACATAGATTTACCTCTGATCAGCAGACTCGTGGAATAGATACTGCCTTCCTTTGGGGACCTGCCTTTATGATTGCTCCTGTTCTTGATGAGGCAAGTACTTTAATTAAAAAATGCCATCATACTGGAATAAAAGAAATGAACTGCGCTTAGGGCATTGGGTGACATTCAGAGCATGTTTGCTCATATCTATTCCTTTCTTCCCTCCACTGTCAAAGCTTACAGAACACATTTCTGAGCAGCACAGACAGTAAATACAGAGCTTCCCAGTACTTGAAGTGGGAGGATGAAAGTGAGGGCACAGCCTTTCTGTGCTACTCCAAGCGACGAACGGATATAAAGAGCCTGGATTCTGCCCCTCACGTGCTCCTGTTATTGTGCTGGCAGCAGCCTCCAAGGACACACACAGAGCAGTAATTGTTGAGCTAGGAAGAAACACACAGATATTCAAGCAAACCAGTTTCCATATTACTGCTCACCCACAGTGTTTTGGAACTGAAGGGCTGTGGTAGGAGTTTCCCAGCATCACAGGCAAATGCAGTCATTACAGAAATGGTAATGATAATGTTAGCTGCTAACAGGACAGGTTTTAAAAAGCAGCACTTAAAAAGCAGCTGGGCACAGCGCTGTGGTCAAGGCTCACGTTGCTTGGCAAGGGTGGGTTTCTCTCCTTGCTCACTGCTGATTGCTGACAGCACAAGAAAGGTATGTCTGAGCACATCTAAGTATTTGCAGGTGATGCATCCTGGCACTGTTAGCAATCAGCGTGCTGCCGGAATATCTGATGTATTTCTAGATGTTGCTGATGTTCAAACATATAAACCAGCCACTGTTAGTCACCTTTTTTAACCAACCCTTTTGCCTCTGTGAGTTTAAAATGAAATTCTTATTCCTGCATCTAAAACCATTCTGACTCCACTAAGGCACTTCATTTGTCAGTCTTTCATCTTCAGACTCCCACAGGTTTCTAATAGCTGATGAGTAATGAGATTTCACAGGGTCTCAGACCAGTAAGATGATGAAGACTGTGAGAGAAACCTTCCCATGAAGAGCAAGTGACAAACCAGGGGAGGCTTCCTGCAAAGAAGTGAATGAAAGGGAAAATTAAAAGGACATATAAAATGATAGGGGGCCTAGATAAGGAGATCCTAATGTTTTTTGGAGGACTGCAGCACAAAAGGAAGGCCAGGTGCCTGTGGCCTGATGAGGGAAGCAGAACTCTGAAGGCAACACATTGCTGGGTCTTGCAGTGTGAGAGGTGGCAGCCAGGGCTGTGCCACATAGCAGGGCAGAGTCAGAGGTGAGCTGTAAGCCCTTCACTGTGGCATTGCAGGCCAGTAGTGACTGCATCAAACTGCAGCATGGCATTTGCTTGTGTGGAGAAGATGGGTCGGAGACAGTTTGCCCTTTGTTCCTTGAGTCCTAGGGTGACAGCAAGTGAGACATCCATGAAAATTAAAATGAGGAACTGCCTTACACACTGTTTTGTTTTTTAGGGAGTCAAAAAGGCAAGGCTCATGAAATCATAGAGTCATAGAATGGTTTGGGTTGGAAGGGACCTTAAAGATGATTTAGTCCCAACCCCCCTACCACGGGTGGGGACACCTCCCCCTATATCAGGTTGCTCAATGCCCCATCCAACCTGGCCTTGAAATCATCATGATTGAGATGGTGGTTACACACTTTTCCGCAGATCAGAATACCCAGGGTTGTCATAATAATACAAAGAAAAGATGGAGAGGGAGGCATCTTGATTTTATGGGCATTTTCATACATATAAATACCCTGAAATATAAAATGATAACTATGCCTTGACTCTTCTCCACCTTTACTTTTCTTACTCCACTTGCTCCCTTGGGTAATCCTTGGGGCTAAATCATAATCCTGCAAGGAGTCAGACATCTACACTGAGAATCAAAATTAATCTGTTTGTGAGAATAAGCAATTTGTGACAAAAATGGAAGTATGTTTTGATTCCAACTGTTCCTGGAATTATTGATTCAAAGTGCCTTTAGCGTGATTTCATCCCTGCAGCGATATGATACAACGCATGCTGTAAAACAAAGTACAGCAATTGTGCAATTAGCAGCACATTTATTATTTATTATTACTTATCTGCAACTTTAAATGGTTTACAAGGGAAATATCCGTGTATCCTCCTTGCTAGACCTTACTCTGCCTGTTTCTGCAATAAGAGGGGTGCAAGAGGCACTGACCAGTGGTGTCCTCCCACTTCACATGTGAAGTCCTGTCTTGCAAAGGCTGCCATAGACCTCACTGGGGTTGCCCAGATGTTAGAGTGCATCTAGGCCAGTTACATTTGCAAGACACAGAGCTATGTACTAGAATGAAATAATCATGTAACATTGACTCATCCCATGGAATGGCAGTAAAACCCCCCAAATAGCATAAGCTTGTCTCTTTGGTGTTATAGATTAGCCAGCACTAGTCCACTGCTATGACAATAACTCAGCCCTAATATCCAAGATTTGATGTTATTAGAATATTCAGCATACATCTCTCCATGCACAAATGCAATAAAGCTAATGTAATATCAGAAATGCAAAAAGAGAAAAGACTTTAATCTTTTAATCTCTTTATAACAATTACAGGGAGCAAGATCTGTGGATGTATACTTCCCTGATGCAGAATGGTTTGACTACTGTACCGTATGTATTTTTAAGATTAATTTTCTTACATTTTAAAAAATAATTTAAAATGGTACAATTCCAGCAAAATAACTTTTATCAATGTTCACCAGTGTTTTTACCTCAGCATCTGTGTTAAAGAAAACTAGGGAACAAAAAGTCTACACCAGGCTAGCTGGGAGAGTAAATTACACAGCTTTCAGTAACATTTTATTTTCTATTTTTGGTCTGTAAAGGTCTAAGACACATAGAACTAAATTTTCAAGAGCAGCCTAGAAATGCATGAAAGTGCCAAGACTTCTTTCTTCCCCCTCCCCCAGTTTTAATTCTTGTACTGATACACTTTCCTGCATAGAAACAGGCAGAAACCTGAGCTACACTCCTGAGAACTCACCACAAACCCTTCTGTGCACACACTTTTGCACATGCATCACTTTTGACAGAAGGCATATTTTGAGAGCAAGGTGAGGTTTCCCTCCAGAAGATGCTTCCAAGAGATGCAGAACAATCTGCTCTGTGGAAAATTCCAGTATCTTCTACTTTCAGGGACTACGAGCCTTGACCTTTTGAACACCATCCCCAGGATTGCACTTCCAAAAGTGTTCAGTTCAACCTAACTACTCTGCTGTAATCTGCAGGATAAGACCAGCATTGGCTTCAACAGGAGCAGTTAGGCTGATGCTAAGAGCTTTCAGAAATGTGAGCCCAGGATCATCAGTCTGTTGTTAACTACCCTGAGAGATCCTGGCAGAGGAGCAGGCAGTACAGAAATGCTCTCAGAGGAAATGCAGACTTATTTTTAAAGGTGTTTGGTCATTTTCAGCATTTGTCTGATGTCCTCAGATGGATGTTCATCCAACCCTTTCCCTTTTTCTCTTTTCATAAGACTGTGACGCTGCAAAGTTGAGCATTTAATTCAACTCTCCTTGTTGTGCTTCCCTCTGAAGCCTCTTGCTGGGCTGGGCACAGGGACAGCAGCCCCAGTGTCCCTTGCCCTGTCTATCAGCATTAGCATTGCTCATCTCCCAGCAATTTGTACTTGCCATACACATGGTGCTTATCCAAAACCAAGGTTGGGTACTTGCCATAAATTATAATTATCATTTACAGAGGGCAAGAGCAAAGCCTTCCTGTTATTTACTCCGTACATTAGTCTTGCCTGCACCTGCTTTTGAGGCATTAAACCAGAAAGGGTTGATGCAGGTTGTCGACACACACAAGTTTCACGCACTGAATGCTGTAATTACTTTTTGAAAGGGGAAGAATTGTAAGAATTGTCCTTACAAGAGAAGAAAATCCACAGTTTACATTCCCAAATGATTATGAATCACTTACCTTAAATTGAAGTGTGACAGACTCCACATGTATAAAAAGAGGAAGCAAAAGTTTCTTTTTCTTTTTGCTCAGTCTCTTGATGAGAGGTTTTTATTCTACAGCATATGGAATAATGATACCATTTTTAAAGACCATTTGCTGTCTTTCATTCATGATGCTTCTATCTCATGCATATGCATAATTGCAAAGACTAGATCCTCTTTCATGTTAAAAAAGAAACTGGAATAATACTCCTGAAATCCACATTTTAGTATGTTTTTTCACTGATGTGATCGAGATGAAAATGTACACCTTGTTCTCTTTTTTTAGTGGTATATATGTATAGAGCCTGGATTGCCTTCTTTTTAACTGCATTAATTTTTGTGGTAGGGTCTTAAAGTGCCAAGTGCCTGGAAGAAGAACTATTCTACTGTGTCTGCCCCACTGAGCAAGATCCCTCTGTTCATCCGTGGAGGGTACATTCTACCAGAACAGGCACCAGCCACAACCACCACAACCTGTCCTCAGGCTGCCTTTTCAGCAGTATAATGGCACTGGCTCCTGCTAGAAAAAGCTGGAGAACTGACTCCAAGTTGAACATTACAAAGGTGAAAAGCAGATTGGTCTTGAAGTTAGCATTTTGATATGAGAAAGGCGTGACACTGGGAACAACTGGTCTGCTAGAGAGGGCAATCTCTCGTTTTGTTCCTCTGAGATCAACCTAAGACTAGAGAAAGAGATTAAATAGCCCACAAATCATCTTAGTGTGACTTTATCCACTTGCTATGATTATTGTGAACTGCTTATGGATTTTGCTACATGTTTTGATACCTATCCTCCTTGCTTTGTGTTTTAACAGATACCATTGAAAACGAGAACTACTTCTTGGCTAAATATACATTCAGCAAAGTAAGTAGCTGTATTTTAGTGTAGCCATTGTAAGCTGCTGATGTCTAACTTTTCTCTTGAAAGCTTTTTTCCTCTAGCTCAGCCTTTAAACCTGGTAAACTACCTAATGCTTTCATTTACAGCTAGATACAAAATAGTCCAACTAGGATGCTGCAGTATTGTGTTTGCTTCACTGAGTATCACAGTGAGACACATCATTAATGTCCCTCCTGTGACGCAAATCTGAAAATCCACTTTTTCAGCTTTCTTTTTTTCCTTAGTTGCAGCTTCTGGGTATGAGGGACCTTTTCCTTGCCTTCCTCCTGCTGAATACTTTCAGTGGGATGGGTGGGAGAGGGCTACATTCCTCTATTCAGGATATCCCAGCAACTTTTTATCTTTGATCACTTGAAATTTTTGTTTTGTGGTGCAGAGAATTATGTAGTCTCAATTCTTTAGCTTTCATTTGCTTGTCTGACAGCACAGAGACAGCTCCCATGGTTGGTCTCCTGTGGAGTGACTCAGTATGTTACTGGCAACCCAGTGTGCTGATCAGATGCTCCATGCAGTGCAGCATGGGAATAGATTAGCTCAGGGTCAGTGCACTGATGCCTTTCACACAGCTCTCACTTCTGCATAGACATGTCCTGAGAAAGCCTGATAGAAAAACCCAACAGATTTCAATGCAGAAAAATACTATAAAATAAATCTACCATAAGCTCATTAGGTATATGATAGTAAGTTGTTGGAGTTATTGTAAAAAATCCTGAACCTACTTCAATAATCTATACAGATCATATTTCATCTGCAGTTCTAGCATTTGGTAAGAAATAGAATATTGTATGTAGACTATGGCATGGTTTGGTCCCCAGCTGTCTAAACATGAGCCAGTAATTTGCCCAAGTGGCCATGAAGGTCAATGGCATCCTGATTTGTATCAGAAACAGGACCAGGGCAGTGATAGTTCCCCTCTACTCAGCACTGGTGAGGCCACACCTCAAATCCTGTGTCCAGAGAAGGGCAATGGAGCTGGTGAAGGATCTGGAGCACAGGTCTTACGAGGGAGCTGAGGATGCTTGGCCTGGATAAAAGATGGCTCAGGGGAGACCTTATTACTTTCTACAATTACCTGAAAGGAGGTTGTAGAGAGATGGGTGTTGGTTTCTTCTCCCAAGTAACAAATGATAGGACCAGAGGCCTCAAGTTGCATCAGGGGAGGTTTAGATTGGATATTAGGAAAAATTTCTTCATTGAAAGGGTTATCAAGCCCTAGAACAGGCTACCCAGGGATGTGGTGGAGTCACCATTCCTGGAGGTGGATTTTAAGAGATGTGTAGATTTACCCTTAAGGATATGATTTAGTGGTGAATTTGGCAGGGCTGGGTTAATAGTTGGACTTGACAACCTTAAAAGCATTTTCCACCTAAATGAATCTATGATTTCCATGCCATGTATTCCTAAAAGCCCCAAAGTAGTCTACAGAAAACTATTCAAAAGAATAAAATCTTGTTAACCCTGTTGTGATATTGGTCTTAGAAGGTTTGTCTTCCAGAAGCAAGAGCAAGCCAGGGCAAACCAATGGGTTTTATTATGTAGCCTGGTATATTTGTGAGATATTTTCCTGGAACCAATACCACACGTGTAGACTTTATTTTAATTTTTAACTTATTTCCTTCTTGATTTACTGAGGAAAAAAATCCTTCTTCTTAGAAAAAAAGGATATTTCAACAGCAAAAGGAAGAAAAATCACTTTGGTTTTCTGTAGTTGTGTGTAGTAATTTATTGCAGAAAGGCTACAGAAAAACAATATCCAGTTTTATATTAAATTCTGAACTGTGCAAATTAGATTGTTGATTCTCTGGCACTTCCATTTCTCATTGTTCATATTTGACTTCTGCCTGTAAATCCATGACTGAATTCCCTATCTGCATTCCAATAATCTTTAATGTCGATTTTTTATTATGTGTTTATAAAGAAAACAGTCCATCTCAAATAGCAAATTGTAGAAGTATGAAAAATGTATGAAAGTCTTGGTATTTTTTGCACATTTCTATATTCTTAAAAAAAATGTGGATGAATAATTTAATCACACGTAGCTTTAAGAGAACACAAAAGTTTTGTTCCTTGAGAGATTTGCTAATAAGGTCTGACATTGCAACATTTATTCTGAACCCAGCACAGAGTGTTGTACAAGTAATGGCTACAGGATTAGACCCTCTAATTTATATTTTCATTTAGACAACCCAGAAGCATAAAGAATTAAAGGCTTGCGCAAAGCACTTAAGTCTCGGGGAATGATTCGAGCTTCTGCTCTCTGGTGCTGTCTCTCTGCTGTTGTCATTTTAATTCGCTTTACAACTCCCTTTTGACATGCATAGTGACTAAGTGACCTAAGCCAAAGTGCCCCTTTATATGAAGCCCACCAGAACTAGACAGTAAGAAAGAAAAATCATGACCCTGCTGCTCAGAGTACAGAAGTCCTGGCTTCTGGCCTCAGTTCCAGGACTTCATTTTGCTTTCCATTTATGGGGCTTTGAGTGATATCCATATGTTTCCTCCCTCAGCAAAGAACTCAGGAACTTTCTGGGAAATTGCTTTAACCACTCGATGCTTGGGGAGGAGAGGATCACTCATTCCCCTGGACCATCACCTCCCTGTCCCTCCAAGACCTCCAGTTCTCCAGTCAGAGAAGAGTGTCTGTTGAAGAGTTGTATCTCAGGGCCTCAGAGTTTGAGGGTAGCCTTGTTAATACAGTTGTGATCGCTGAGTTCAACATCACGCTGTGCGTACTGGCTCTGTGCTAGCTCTCCTGCTTAGCCACACCTGAGACAGCAATAAACCACTGTAGGGAGGTGGTCTCTCTACACTGAACCTCCCTCTGTGCTGGAGCTCTGCCAGTAGGGAGAAGACAGCACATATAGGTATTCTAACAGATTCTCCAGAGGCTTTTAGAGGCCTCTCCCCATTTGCTGAAAAATAGCCAATGTTCCTTGTTTAGGCAGTTTAAATCAGTGTGCTGGGGATTTGCACTTATTTTTAGTGTGGATGCCTGAAATAAGCAATCTAAGCACAGACCTAACTTACAAATACCATGATCTAGCTTCTGCTCCCCTCCTACCACGCACCACCGAAATAACATAGGGTAATTTATGCAAAAGGTTCCATCATGGGTTTCTCCTTGGCATATTTTTAAAAAGTCATGATTGCATAGCAATCCATCATTTCCTGAGCAGTGTAATTCATCTTTATTTCCTTAACAACTTTGATCACATAACAAATGTGATGATTCCTCTTCATTGCATGTATGGGAAATTACTGTCACTGGTGATCCAAATGAATTAGTTTAATGACGTTGTATGTCCTCTTGGTACACCCCTAAATATGGAATGTGTAGTAAATAAGAAGTACAACAAACAAAACTCTGTGGACATACAGTCTTCCTTCAGTCTCTTTAAAGCTGGGACATATATAACATGCTCCCTTAAAATAGGGGCAAAATATCTAGCAACTGATGTTTGTGGAAGATGCTAATGTTTTAAAGCAGTTAGTTTTGGATGTTAATTAAATCTGCCTTAAGGTCACTAATTGAATCTCTGTATCTGGATTTTGGCTTTGCATATGCGACTGTACTCTGTAATGGGTACAAGAACAAAATTTACATTGATTACAAGTAGAAAAACATGTCCAAGAAGATTCCAAATGAATGCTGTAAACACTATTTTTTTTCTTATTTTCTTAATTTATAATCATATATGAAACCTTTCTTATGTGCAAATTAATACAACTGTTGTTTCTTCCTTTACAATCTTGGACTTCAATGTGTACATTGGAAGACATTCTGTATGTTCACTGACAAGGATGAGATCTTGTAATAGTGTGCAGTAAGTCACATCTAAAGAGTTGTCGTGGTCCCAAAGTGTTCTCTGTGTCTTTTTCCAGGGAAACCTGAAGACAGAAATACTGAAAAATGGCTACCGAGGAGCTGACACTCTGAAGTACAACAAAATTACAATTCTTGGCCTGAAATTGAGACCTCAAGCTGTTACTCTGAATGGAAGATCTATCCATGGAGATGCTTTCTCTTTTGAGATGAGGGGGGTAAGTGCTGAACTGAGTAGTTAAGAAAAAACTTAAGGAAAGGAGGGTGAAGAACATTGAAGGGGATGAAGGCAGTGAAGAAGAGGAACAATTTCTCATCCACACCCCTCCATATTTCCAATATAATCAGACATAATTCTTGATACAACAGTCCGAGATTTAGAGGAGGAAAAAAAAGCAAAAGCAAGAGCTTTTTTAGGAAACTTTAATCTTTGCTATTACACATATGCTCTCTTTTACTTAATATCTACTACTTATACAAATTTTTAAACTAATGAAATACTGAAAAGAAGATACAGCTCCATAAACTGGGAGCAATGTTAGCAGTTTTATGGGCATTCTTATAATTCTGATAAAATGAGAACACTTGTAAAAGTTTTTTGTCCACTGCTGAAGTGGTGTAGATCTTTTTCACAATTACTTAGGGTCCAAAAATTATTCCTGTGTAATTGGCTCTAAGGAGTATCTCCCTATCTTCCAAGGACATATAGTTTCAGCATCTTAAAGTGCCCAACCTCAGTGTTCCAGACCAAAATGCATGACTTACTTGTGCAATGCCCCTT